CTAAATATTACTATTGGTATTACTATTGTTGCTATGTTGCTGCTGTTGTTATCATTGTCATTATTATTACTATTATTATTACTACTACTACTGCTATTACAACCCTGGACTTAAATAAACTACTACTCTTACTACTACACTTGTCACTCCACATTTGCAGCTTTGATTATTGACAGATTTTATTAATATGTTCTTTCTGTGAATATCTAGGTCTTCCAGCGGAATTTTATGGTCAACTTTAACCAAAAGTCGCACTGAAGGACCTGGAAAGAACACTCCACTAGGCATTTGTAGCTCCTCCACTGCAATTCTGTGGTCAATATCTGGCAGATGTTGACTACAGAGTTGCACTGGAGGACCTAGAGAGGTGTTCTCTCAGATAAAAACAGTGTTTTTGTTGTTTACATTTTTTCCACATTCACGGGGATGTTCCACATTAGGGGCTGTGCCCCTAACCCCAACGAATGTGGAGGGATGAGTGTACTACTAACATTATTATTATTGCTATTATCATTACATTTATTTATATTCTGTTTCCCCCTCCCCCCAGTTTGGGACACAAAACAGCTTACAGATGAAAGGAACAATTAAAAACATACCAAAGTGGGTCTTAAAGTAGAATTAATACTGATGCACCTTTTCATGTGCATGTGTTTGTGTTGATAACTGTGTTATGTAGGTATGAACTATGAACTCCCACATATACCTTATAAGTGAATGGCAAAAAAACCCCACAATCCACAATAATAAATGAAAAGGTGTTTAATTGTGTGTGTGTCCCTTTTTTGCTGTTGTGGAAATGTTGCAATATGCATGAAAATCTTGCATGCAATATGGGGGGATTATTATGATTAATATTGCTACTACTATTATTATTTTGTTGTTGTGTGCCTTCAAGTCATTTCCTTAAGTTAACCCTAACTTAACCCTATGGGATTTTCTTGGCAAGTTTCTTCAGAAGGGGTTTGCCATTGCTATCCTCTGAGGCTGAGAGACTGTGACTTGCCCAAGGTCACCCAGGAGGTTTACATGGCTGAACCAGGATTCAAAGCCTGGTCTCCAGAGTCTAGTCCAAGCTGAAATCACTACACCATGCTGGCTGTCTTTATTACTATTATATTTATTTATATCCTGCTTTTTCCCTCCAAATTGGGACACAAAGTAGCTTACAAATGAACAATACAATTATAAACATACAAAAGTAGAATTAATGCTGATGCACCTTTTCATGTGCATGTATTTGTATGTATAAACTATGCACACTCACAAAACAAAACAAAAGCCACAATAAAAAACATTACTGCCCTCCCTCACATTTATCTGATTTGTTAATCTGCTTTTGGGAAGAATTTATCTGATTTTGTAAATAAAGTGGTCCTGGCAGAAAAAAGGATGGACTGTCCTGAGAGATGGAGAGCCACCACTTGAAATCTGGGGGCGAAAATGGATGGTGGATAAGGATTGAGTGTTTTAACAGGAACTCTGCATCCACTTGTGAGCGTGCACATAACAATTTTAGGCCGTTTTGGTTGGATTTCTTTAAATACTTTTTTGTAAGTAGATAGGATTTCTACTTTCTACACTTTTGAACTGTTATGGTAGATACAGGGAGAAACTTTTTAAATAGTGTGATGGGTGTGAACATTTCTGCACTCCTACATGAGCGGTGAAACTTCCTGTCTGTTTTGGAGGTTGCTTTTGGGTTGCTTGGATATGCCACACCTGCATCTGTATTTGTATAACAGGGATGTGGGAAGTGCACAATTGTTGCCTTGTTAGTCTTGTAAGTGATGTGTAATAGTTGCTGCTTTCTTTGGCATGTCTTGTCTGCCTGATGACTGCAGTATGATGCTGCTGCTTTGGTTTTGGCAGCTTTAGATATAGAAAATATTGAGTTGTAGCAGGGCCTTGCCAATGTGCTGAGACATCTTGCTGAAATTTGGATTGTTCTTATTATGATACACAATATACTGTCTTGTGTGCATTATATGTACACTGGAGAGGAATAATTGTTCAAAACGGGGGATGTGCAGGTGATTAAAAAGCACAGGTGTTTTTCTTGGTGCTACTGTGATACATTCTCTTTTCTCATCACCAAAGATAGCAGAGTAGATTTGATGCAGTGGGAGTTGGGATTTCACCACAGATTAAAAAGCTAATGAAATATCAGGCATAGTTGCAGCACAGAGAAGGCAGGAAGAAGGAGTCTAGTCCGTTTTGTATTTGTCTCTTAATTTGTTTGAGGTTTTTTGGTACCTGTATCAACAAAAACTATGTACCCTGCCTGACTGCCTACAAACACCTGTGCATGCACATATGTATTTTAGTTGTTTGTGATAGAAGAAAGGAAACATTCAAACTTCTCTAATTCTGCTTTGCCTGGTAACTCGGGAGATACTTAAGAGCTACAGATGACTAGTTGAGTTACTATTGTATTAAAGGGCTCCACCACTGCAGTGATAGTATAAACGTGCTCAGCTGGTAAAGAAGTGCATAGCTGATTAAAATATTACAAAGTAATAGCCAAGACAAATAGGAGGAGAGGAGTGTTGCATTACGTGTCGCCTATCAAGTATGGATATTGTACTGTAGGTAACGCTGATATTAACACACCCATGCTGCTGCATTATCTGAGGAAAAATACATTTTCTTGGTGATACAGTATTAAGTAGTAATGAAATGTGAACTCCTTACAGCAGAAGCACTATTTGGAGAAAAGTATATATTGAAATATATTGGAAGTTGCAATTAAATTCAGTATTATGATGGGACTGTGGTGTCTTCTGTGCAATTTTTGATGTGAAAATTGAAGTGGAAGCTCACTATTGCAATTCAGGAAGAATGTGGATGGGGTGGAGCGTGTCCAGAGGAGGGTGACCAAAATGGTGAAAGGTCTAGAAACCATGCCCTATGAGGTATCTTTAGCCTGGGGAAGAGAAAATGAAAAAGTGACATGATAGCTATGTTTAAATATTTGAAGGGATGTCATTGAGGAGGGAGCAAGCTTGTTTTTTGCTCCTCGAGAGATTAGGACAGGGGTAGGCAACCTTTCCCCTTTAAGGGCCGAGGGACTTCAGCTCCCAGAATCCCAGGAACTATTGGCCAACATGGGACTATTGGCCAACATGGCTGAGGCTTCTGGGAGCTGAAGTCCCTCGGCCCTTAAAGGGGAAAGGTTGCCTACCTCTGGATTAGGACATGGAGCAGTTGATTCAATCTACAGTAAAAGAGATTCCACCTGAATATTAGGAAGAACTTCCTGATGGTAAAAATTGTTTGACAGTGGAGCACACTTCCTCGAAGTGTGGTGGAGTCTCCTTCTTTGGAGACTTTTCAACAGAGTTTGGATGACGATCTGTTAGTAGTGCTTTGTGTCTTCCTGCATAGCAGGGGGTGGGTCTGGATGGCCCTTGTGGTCTCTGTGATTCTGTGACTTCTATGACGTACCATTCCTTAAACTGGGGGCAGGCAACCTCATTTGTCTGGGAGTCAGTTTCCTTCCCTGGGACCACTTGGGGACTGCATGGACTGCAAAGTACCAAGCAAAGAACCAAAAGTGGCTGGTTCTGGAAAAACAGGCATTGTTTTAAATTAAACGGTGCAGGGCAACCCTGTGATCCAATTAAAAGGTTAATTGCCACTCAGGAGGCTTCCTGGAGAAAATGATTTACTGTTCTGGTTTTGCTAGGAAACGTCCAGGGAAATTGAAGCATGGAGTCAGACTCACAAAAATAATGTTGTGAATTGGGGGAGAGCTATAAACTGTTTAGTCTCTTGCCTTAAATTGATTTTTTTTATTAAACAAAACTTTTATTTGTTATATCTTTAATATTGTTCCTTCTGTGACCTTTTTCATTTTCAGCATAAGTGTTTGCCAATGAGAGATGAATAGCAGTCTCTTTAACTATCCATTAGAATGCTTTTTTCTAGGTTACTTGCTAATTCTCTGCTGTGGATTATTGAAATACTGTGTCCTGTATAAATTTGACAAGTAACTTTGTATTGGAAGCATTGATCTAATATGTTCATGAGTTTAAAATTTTGCACTTTGTTTTATGGCAAGCTATCTTCTGGTGTTTGCTTCAGAGATGTGATGCAAATAACGTATGGGATTCGTGATCATCTTTAAGAAGTAGGGACAGCCAGATGAAGAATGAGGAAACTTGATGGTGAGTAAGAACAGATCCCATTCTAGCTTCTGGTCTTGGGTAACAGAACTGAGCTAGAAAGCTCAAGATGACCACCTGAGATTATTTTGTCTTCATACACCTGTGACCTGGATTATATAGAATGCTCAGATTAATAGAGACATCATGTAACATTGGGACTAACCATGGTTTATTAATTTAGTCACTAAGATCCAAAACATAGTGAAGCTAAGGGTAGTTTGTTAACCTATGTCTGTGATAATGAATCTATGGTACACATGCCAGAGATGGCACACAAGCCATTTCCCCCGGCATGTGTAGGGCGGGGAGGAGGAGGAGAGAGAAAAGGCTGTTCCTCCTCCTTCCTGGCCAGCCCAGTTCTTCACCTGCCTCGCCGGAGGCAGCTGAAGGCTGGGAATGATGCATGGGGAGGAGGAGGAGGAACAGGCACACGCCTCTTCTTTCTCCTTCCTGACCCTCCCTGGCCTCCAGTTGCCTCTGTGAAAAGGCAGCGGGGGGGGGGGGGGGGGGGGGGGGGGAGGAGAAGTCCCACCCCGGAAGTCCTGCCCCTGGCACTGGGTAACATCTTGTGTCAGAAGGCCTTTTAGTTTGGGCAATCGGGCCCTAAAAGGTTTGCCATCACTGACCTATGTCCTTTATTTTAGGGTTTTGTACAAGGTACCAATAATTGCAGACTTACTTTAGGTTATATTTCCTTTATCTTTAGTTAGACATTAAATTCTAATTATTTATATCTGATTATATAATTAAACCTTTTTCTTTTTCATAGTACTCCATTTGGGAGTAAGTGTGATTTTATATCTGTGTCCTTAATAATGAAATAGTAACTAGGCATACGTGGTGTAGTGGTTTGGGCATCGGATTATGACTCTGGAGACTAGGGTTTGATTCCCTGTTTGAGCAGAAAAATCCACTGGTTGACCTTGGGCTAGTCACACTCTCTCAGCCTCAGAAGATGGCAATGATAAACCCCCTTTGATGAAACCTGTCAAGAAACCCCTATGATAGGTTTGCCTTAGGGAATTTTTGATTTTTTTTTTCATTTGAATTGAACAAATATAACACTACGTCAGATAATGCCCTTTTAAAAATGTTTTAGCTAGGCACAGTTTAACTCAGTTCTACCTAAATTCTTACATAGTGCTCTTTCCCAAACAATGTGGGGGCATGTTCTGTAATATATAAACAGTGGTATTGCCAGCTATTGAAGCACAGGTTCAGCTAATCTAAGTATTGATCCTTGTTGGAATGTCAGTAGTCAGAGTGGTGAAAACATGCAAAGGGCCAGTGAAGTTTCTCACACCTTTAAAGATTTTCTGTCTTTAATGATTGAACTTTCAGAGTAAATATGCATGTCCCTTCATTACTGACCTTGAAGTGACTAAACCATGTATCATGCCATGAAACAACTGTCATTAGGCCAATAAACTGTGTCTCAGAACAGTTATCAGCTGCATGTTTTCCTAATGATTATTGTAACATGTGGCATGGAAAATGCATATTTAGAACTATATCTGAAGAACATGATTGACCAAAGTATATGTTTAGTTTTCAGACATATATTACACTTGCTTGCTGCAAAGACATTGAAAATCATGTATACAGTAATGATTGGGACAGATACCTCCCAAACCAGGGGTGAACATTGTGTGGCCCATGGGCTTTAGTGTGAGCTCCAATAACCCACATTCCTGACATTGCCACACAACAATTTTTTTTACTTACAAAGTAATCTTATTCACTCTGGAGTGTGCAGGGGTCAATTTGCCATGTTTTGTGTAACTTTGATTTGCTTTTTTAAAACTAGAAGTGATACGAAGTTACTTTCGGTTTTGAAAACAGTCCCCCAAGCCCTAAAACAGGTCTAGTAAAGATATGTTTACATTTGTTTTCTCATCTTCCAATGGCCACAATGAGCCTCTCTCATTTATTTTTTTCTAGGCCCCTAACCCATCATATTTTTAAGGAGTGGGTGAGCTAGGGAATGGGTTATTGGATCTTGTTTTAACTTGTTGTAATGTTTTTAACTTGTATGCCACCTCGATTGCGCTGCAGAGGGGCGAGATAAAAATTAAAATTGTTGTTGTTGTTGTTGTTGTTATTATTATTATATGGGGGGTATTCTGGATCTCTGAAAATTTGCACTTTGCTTTAGATTCATAATGGTTTCTTAAACCATATATACAGCAATTGCTTCGAATTCATAGGGGATCCATTCTGGACTCCTCTCCTCCCGCACGAAATTTCGTGAATATTCAAGTCCCATTGTCCTCAATGGCAGTGCCATTGAGGACAATGAGAATTGAGTATTTCTTTTCCTCTCTCCCTCTCCTCCC